TGTATGAATACACTAGATACACACAGCAGCCTGAGAGCAGTATGAACAGTGTGTATGAATACACTAGATACACACAGCAGCCTGAGAGCAGTATGAACAGTGTGTATGAATACACTAGATACACACAGCAGCCTGAGAGCAGTATGAACAGTGTGTATGAATACACTAGATACACACAGCAGCCTGAGAGCAGTATGAACAGTGTGTATGAATACACTAGATACACACAGCAGCCTGAGAGCAGTATGAACAGTGTGTATGAATACACTAGATACACACAGCAGCCTGAGAGCAGTATGAACAGTGTGTATGAGTACACTAGATACACACAGCAGCCTGAGAGCAGTATGAACAGTGTGTATGAATACACTAGATACACACAGCAGCCTGAGAGCAGTATGAACAGTGTGTATGAATACACTAGATACACACAGCAGCCTGAGAGCAGTATGAACAGTGTGTATGAATATGCTAAGATATATAAAGTATGAAAACGGTAAGCAGTGCAGGTATAATAATAATAATAATAATAATAGGTTTAATTTATAAAGCACTTCATATTTGACTTTAAATCCCAAAGTGCTACAGGCAGTGAACATGAACAGTATAAAAACATTATACAACACGGTAGAATTAATAAAAAGCAATAAAAAACAAACAATAAAAATAAAATAAAATAAAAATATGGTAATAAATAAAAGGTGTAGGGAAAGGCTCTATTGAATAGATGGGTTTTGAGGCCTTTTTTAAAAGCTTCCACGGTCTGTGGTGCTCTCATGTGGTCGGGGAGAGCGTTCCACAGACTGGGCCCGGTCTCCCATAGTACGGAGCATGGTCCTGTGGGGTTTGAGGAGGTTGGAGTTGCTGGAGCGGGTGGTCCGCAAGGAGGTATGGGGGGTAAGGAGTTCCTTGAGGTAGGGAGGGGCAGTTCCATGGACACACTGGTGGGTGAGGACGGAGACCTTGAATTTGATCCTCAGCTCCACGGGGAGCCAGTGTAGAGATCTAAGGATGGGGGTGATGTGATCATATTTGCGCACCCTCATCAGGATCCTAGCAGCGCTGTTCTGAATGTATTGGAGCCTCTGGATGCTTTTGTTAGGGATCCCCATGAGGAGTGCATCGCAGTAGTCCAGCCTGGAGGAGACAAAGGCGTGGACTAGCTTTTCGGCGTCAGACAGAGTGAGTGTGGGGCGGAGTTTGGCGATGTTCCTGAGGTGATAAAAGGAGTTCTTGCACAGCTGTTTAATGTGAGCCTCAAAGGTCAGATGGGCGTCCACTTTTCATACAGCAGGTGCAGCTCAAAGTGCTTTACGAAATGACACAAGTTAGAAACAAACAACAAGAAATTCCACTCAGATTATTTGTTAAGAACTTTGAAAGGTACGTGCAGCGAAATATAACATGTTAACAGGTTAGGAGACACGAGCTGAGACAACTGAGTCGGTGCTACAACCCCATAAAACAAAGGGAACATACAGTTTAGGGACAACAGAAAGAAAAAGATTAAGATTAAAAGAACATTTGAAGTGGGGGGTTGCTAATAAAAAGCTGATCTAAAAAGAAGTGTCTTTAACATCTGAGGGGAGTTTCTTGTTGTTCATCTTTAACTTGTTGTAAATCGCTTCGAGCTGACGTGCTGTATGAACAGTGCTGTGTAACTACAGCTTTGATGTCCACTAACAGCTCCCAGCATGCAGACACTGATGTCGTACCTTGGGTTTGATCCCCGTCTCGTGTTTGATCTGCTGGCTCAGCCGGGCCGTCTTCTTGGCGATGCTGTGCGTGTTCAGTCGGTTCATCTTGTCCTTCATGCTCAGAGTCTCGGTCTTCTTGTATTTGTCGGCTGAACAGAAACAAGGAGAGTTCATGTGGAGCACAGATACACACACATATATATATGTTGTTGCCATGTCGGCCTAAACGTCACTGTTTTTATTCTGTTGTTTACTTTATTAAATATATTTTTTTGTTGTTGTTTTGTTTCAACCATTTTACTCTGTAGCACTTTCAGTTTACTCAAATGAAAAGTGCGCTGATAAATCAAATTGATGATGATGATGAAGATGATGAGCAGTCCTATAAAAGGGGAGGTTTTTAAATAAAACAACGTTGCTTGAAGTTCTCTTTATGCGTTAAATTCATAATGTGACCAACATCTTGTTTAATTCTGTGAACGCTGCCCTTCACTTTTTCACTTTTCTGTAGAACATTACCTCTTTAAAAATCTGCACAGCCGCCCACTTTAAAATCTAATAAGCTGTATTCTGATATGTGTTCACTGTACTATTTTGATCCTTCTCTTACAACTTATTTACTTATACTGAGTTTATGTTATAGTGCAAAGCAGTGTGTTCTGTGTGTTAGCCTATTCTGATTCTATAATCACAGCAACACAACTATGGAAGAATAAGAGATACAACTTGTGTTATTTAATGGGTAAAAACAGATGGAAAAGACCATCATTCGAAATTATAATAAAATGTGAAATTGTGAAAAAAGTAAAATTCGGAGAAAAAAAGTGAAATTTCTGGGAAAAAAATTGAAATTATGAAAAAAATTGAAATCCTCAGTAAAAAGTAAAATTTCTGAAAAAATGTAAAATGTTGGACAAATGTGAAATTATAAGAAAACAGTCGAATGAAGGAAAAAAAGTCAACTTTCTGGGAAAAAAATTGAAATTATGAAAAAATTGGAAATTCTAAGTAAAAATTCAAATTCAGAGAAAAAGTCCAAATATAAGAAAAAGTCAAATTGTGAAAAACGAGGCAAAATCGAAGGGAAAAATCTAATTGTGAGAATGACCTAGTAATGTCACAGGTATAAACCACAGGTAGAAACCACAGGTAGAAACCACAGGTAGAAACCACATAAAGGCACTTTTACTCCACAGTGAGTACTCTTTCTTTTGATACATTATGTAAAGAAATAAAAAGTAGAGCCAGCGTTTCCTCACCGACTTCCCTGAAGCGCTTGTACTCGTTGATGCGGCAGTTGAGAGCGATGGAGGTGTGCGCGGTGTGCTCCAGCAGGGCGTACGCAGGGTGCTGTCTGTCCGTGTGCTTCTGGATGGTCTGCAGGAGCAGAGGGTATCGGGCGATCCTCTGGACCGGCATCACCAGGAAGAAAGTCAGAGACGTGGCGTTCACCTCCGGCCTGAAGAGAGGAGAGGAAGACAGGAGGAAATGGAAATCAAAGATCAGTTTATATCCGTCTGAAAACACAGAGGAATACTTTTAGGAACAGCAACAAGATGCGGTTATTGCACGGTTTAGTTGAATGCTCGATGCCGATTGGTCAATTTGGACATTCTAAGGAGGACGCTTTGATCAAGGGACTATGTGCAGTCATATCAATCCGCAGAAAGAAGTCCGGGTAATTTAACGTCAGCTGTGGACAACTAACATTCGTTTCATCCATCAGAAAACACAGTGGACTTTTACATGTTAGGTTGTTTTAGGTTTGAGGTGCAGTCGTTACCCTGCTTGGATGAATACTCGATTCTGATTGGTCAATGTGGCTCTTTTTTGGCTTGCACGCCATAGCTAAGGACTGACGCTCTGACTAGGTGACTATGTGCAGTCGTATCAATCCGCCGTAAGAAGTCCGGTCAATTTAAGAAATGTGTTTTCTACGTCAGTAAACACTGCGGAGTAGTTTTGGGATATTCATTTTTTAAGATACTAAAAAGCGCTTTTCCTGGATCTCAAAGCGCTGTAAAGACAGAGGGCTGGAGCGTTACAGTAAACCTCGATCATTCCTGCCGTCATTTAAAGATACGTAGGACCATTTTTTCTCCCTGGAAGCAATATGATTATTTTAAAGTCAATACAATCAATTTAAATCCATATTTTGAGACAAAGCAGAGATTTCTTTGACTAACTAGTCGTATCAAAATCAGATTAACGTACGCCGAGGCCTTGATGACTCTCACGATGTCGTCCCACAGCATCTCTTTCTGCTTGTAGCTGTTCTCCAGCACCGTGACGTTAGAGTAGTTGGACAGGTATTCTTTATAAGACGCCTCGATGTCTGCAGACAGGCTGAGGAACGACTCACCTGCAGAGAGGGGACATACACTCACTTTAAAACACATGCAAAAAACATAATTAAGAGGAAATATTAGGGGTTCACCGAATGGGTAATTCTTGGCCGAAACCGATACCGAAAATAGGAAACAGTTGGCCGAAAACCGAATGCCGAAAGGCCGAAAATGATTAATAGAAATTAGGGCCGGGACTTTAACGCATTAATTAAGATTAATTAATTACACAACAATTAACGCGTTAAAAAAATTAACGCATTTTAATCGCACTTATTTTTGCACCGCGGAACGTTTCTCACTGGATGAGTTTCAGGGGTACCGATTATACTGGAGCACCAACTAACGTTCATGACTTCAAACA